CTCAGCCTCTACTTGCCTTCGCCAACACTTACCCTTCTCAACCTCAACGTTAACTAACTCCCCCTACAGGAGTGAAAAGTATTAACTAAAAATGAACGCGCAAAAACCATCGTAACAAAAAACTCAGCTTTCTGCACTGCTCAGAGGACAGAGCCCACACCACGCAGATGCTCCCAGGCCCAGCAACAAGACCTGGCTAAGCCGTCTTCCCCAGAAATGGTAGAGTCTTCATTTCAGCTCAATCCCATTGCCTTTTCTTTCAGATCGATTTAAAAAATCACAGAGGAGAAGCACCCAGCACCAGTCCTCCCTCAAGAGCGGCCGCCCCAGTGCAGTAGTGACCGAGTCCGGCCATGGCATAGCAGCTCTAGGGCACAGCCCCGCACACTGCCAACGAGCCCCAAAACCGCCAGGCTGACTCTGGCACCAGCCTCCTGCAGGTCCCACAGCTCCCCTCAGGCCACGTGAACTGAGCCCACACCGTGCTCACTAGAGCACGTCCTCCCAAACACCACCCGGTAACGCTTGCGTTTTGGAATCATTAGTAAATTACAAAAGCACTACCTATGCTATTTTAATTGTTAAGGATCTAACAGGCATTTTACATGGGTTTTCTTACTTTTTAAAAGGCAGCAGCTAAAAATTTCACATCAGTGGAACAGTATTTAAAAAAAAAAAAAAAAGCACGTGATCGATTCGCCAGGCAGAGGCCAATCCATCAAACCAGAACAGAGGACTCCGTCTGCAGATCAATCCTGAGACAGCGCAGGGAACAGTGAATGTAAAATGCAGATTCCTGAGCCCCTTCTTAAACCTGCTTTGAAGCAGACTGACGTCTGGCACGGGGAGGGCAGGAAGACGAATTCATTCACCTGAGCCCTCCAGGTTCTCTGTGGGGCACATGCTCTGTGGTACCTCCTCCCCAGGCTGACAGCTGCCCGCCATGAAAAACCCTCCACCAGCCTTCACAAAGCCCGTTCCAAAATACAAAAGAGGCCAGAATGAAAACATGGACAATTCGGGCCAGCCGACCTTAGGTCTATCAAGTAAGGCAAGAGAACTGCTCCCTCTGTAGCCACAGCCATGGCGTGGCATCAGCCCCGGCTATGAAGTGAGGGCGAAGTTCGAGAGTAATTAAGAAAAACACCAAGGCCGGGCGCGGTGGCTCACGCCTGTAATCCCAGCACTCTGGGAGGCCGAGGCGGGCGGATTGTTTGAGCTCAGGAGTTCGAGACCAGCCTGAGCAAGAGGGAGACCCCGTCTCTACTAAAAATAGAAAGAAATTAACTGGACAACTAAAAATATACAGAAAAAATTAGCCGGGCATGGTGGTGCATGCCTGTAGTCCCAGCTACTCGGGAGGCTGAGGCAGAAGGATCACTTGAGCCCAGGAGTTTGAGTTTGCTGTGAGCTAGGCTGACGCCACGGCACTCACTCTAGCCCGGGCAAAAGCGTGAGACTCTGTCTCAAAAAAAAAAAAAAAAAAAAAAAAAAAAAAAAACAAAAATAAAACCTAAAGCCCCGGACGCCCAAAAAAAAAAAAAAAAAAAAAAAGAAAAAGAAAAACACCAAAATAACAACACTAAGCACTGGCAGCCCCAGGAATCAGATCCCCACCCACCGGTGTGGGGAGCTATCTCATCTTCTGGGAGAACACTTAGATGGGAGATAAAAGCTGTACAAACCATATGCCCTTGGACCCTGCAATTCTGCTTCTAGACCATATTAAACCTCATTGAAGAATAAAAAACCTAACTAAACGGAGACAGGCGCAATGTTCCTGACCAGGAAGACTAAGGGGGACAAAGACGTCATTCTTCCCAAGTGCAATTTATAAGCAAATGCAATCAACTCAACAACATCTCGCTGGAATTTTAAAAATAGAATGTGCAAAACTGGTGGTAAAGTTCATGAAAAAGCAAAGAAAAAATTTTAAGTACAAGAGAAAAACCCTCCAAGCTGTCGAAATATACCATAAAGCTACAGTAATTCAAAGGGCGTGACACTAGAAAAGGTCCCAACAACAGATCCATGAACAAGAAGAAAACCTAAGAACCACCCAGACCTGTTCCCGTGTGCACACACGCCAAGACCCCGGACCCACTGCAACGCAGACACGCGCACACGCAAGCAGAGGCACACGGACACGCAGGGCTCCTTTCCAGGCATGTGCCGTTCCGCATCCTGTTCTGTGATGCAGTTTTGTATGTTTTTTGTGGACCCTGAGAGGCAGTGCTTCTCCAGAGCATCATCCTCAATGTAAATTTGAGGTCAAGGGACAGGCAGTTAGAACTCTGATGGAAGGAGAGTGTTGCCACACTGAGCAGGGACAGTGTGGCCCTGCTCTGGGCCTGCCCTCTGATCTCCCCACTCAGTCTCCTGTTACCGCTCTCAAGTCTCCCTCGCCTGAACACGAGCTCTGCTTCACGTGGTAGGTGCTTCCTCCCTGCCTGCCACTGTTCTTAACGTGCCTTGTGGCGTCACTTCCCACACAAAACCTTCCCATCGTACGCGGGCAGAGCCGTCCATCTTTGCGTCTTGCTACGGAAACCTCTGCTACGATAAGCTTGGTACGGACGGCACAGACCGCACACAACTGCAACAGGAGAAGGGTCGCATGAGGCACGCCACGTCAGCAGTCCTCACAACGACCCAGGCAGGGTGGGTAGAGGATGGGCTGCGGCCACGGCATGGTCAGGGTCAAGGCACCCAGTGGGCACCTCGGGTGTCTGAGGGGAGGGCTTGGCACCCCGAGATGACTACAGGACGGGGGACAACGAAGAAAGGGAGCCGGACATCTGTCCTCAGACAAGACCACGCGCATGCCTGTGTCTCACGGGGGCCTTGCAGCTGAGCGAGGCCCACACAGGAGGGATCCCACAACCACGAACATGCTGAGCAGCAGGAACACGGAAATTAAGCTGTTCACTAAAAATCTCCTGGCGAACAAAGGGCAAAGCCGGGGACAAGCCTCCATTTCCTGCCTCCAAATCTACACGCCATGTAGGCCGCAGCTTCCTGACCAGACGGACGCTCCCACGTGCCTCTCTGGGGCAAGGGCTGCCCACGAAGCACACCCACCGCGCCCCGGCCACCACGGCAGACGTGGCAGAGCAATGCTGCGCTGAGTCTCCCGGTTACTGGTTACTTCGGCCGAGCGGGGCCCGAATTCACCACCAGAGAAGGCGGCTCCATAAACGGAACCTGAGACAAAAAGACAAAGTAAAGCACGTAACCCTTACCCCGACCCACCGCGTCACCTAAAGACCACAATTGAGGGGTCACTAAATTTTATGTCTGCAGCATCACGTCAATAAAAAATGTTTAATAGTTTCCACAACATACCTTTAAAATGCTCTCATGTTTTAATTACAGTGAGTATTCAAGTAATGAGATGTCTGTTTATCAGAGACAATTCCTGACTTGAGACGGCGGCCCTGAGTGCTGTCTGAATGCTGGGGGTCCGGGCCCCAGCACCTGCGGCTGCCCCCGAGTGACCAGGCGTCAACAACAGTGCATCCCGTTTCCCTGGAAGAGATTCCCACGATCCGTGTCAGAGCCGGCAGAGCCTGAAGGGCATGAGGAAGTGCCCGCGTCACAGACAGCTCAGAGCGTCACTGCGGCAGCTCCCCACAGCAGTGCCACCACCACCACCAGGCCCACCGAGGTGCCACCAGGTTACACGCATTCTTCCATAGAGTCATTCACTGTTCCCCACCTGTGAATTACAGACAAGCTACCAAAGCTGATAAAATGCTATGATAATATCAAGAATCAATTCGCCAAAGTGAACAAACAAGCAAAAATATGACTGGGTTCTGAAAGGAATAATTAAAGCAAAGCAAAAGACACAATGAAGATCCCACGCTGAATCTAAATACTTTTAAATTAAGGGGGAAATGACTGAGTTTCAACACACGTATAACAAAATCCATTTTTAATAAGAAAACCACGTACTGATTGCCGTGCCTACAAAATAATGAGGCTCTCCCAAAGCACGCATAAGACCGGACCGCAGAAGCACAGCGACCCACCCTCACCACGGCTCCTCTGGTTCCTGCTTTGGGACGGCTGTCGCACGCCTCTCCCACAAGCAGGCCGTGCGCAGTGAGTCGTCTGCACCTCCTCCAGGCACAGCAGATCCCTTACTTGACTGGAGCAACACCCCGGCCTAAAGCCAAGCAGAAGAGGCCTCGCGCCGCTAAAAGGCTTGTGGTTGAGTAACAGAACATCCCCCAGTGACAGCGGCTCCCGCTCCCATCAGAGTCCCAGCACGTAGATGAGGCTCTGCACAACCGCCTGCCTCACTAGAGCAAGGGAGCCTCCGGTTCTCTGCTCTGCCAGCGGAGAGATGGTGCCTGGTAGTTATGGTCTGCACAGCCCTGGTGCTTGGGCCAGGCCACACGCCAGGAGAACGAAGCTGACAACCCCTTTCAATCTGTCATTCGAGGTGTATTCTCCTAAATAATTTACACGCAAATATACTGCCTGTCTCTCTACACAGAGACAGAAGTGTAGCTCTGACTGCTTGCAGACACCCTGACAAACACGCAGCAGAAACCACAACAGACATTTCCAGAAGAGGCGGAAATGCAGCATAACGATGCCGGGCCTGGCTTATTGAGGACAAACGTGAAAGTCTTCCCATCCTTCCTCTCACGGCCACTCCGTTCCTACACCAACTGGACAGAGAGAGCGCCCTGCCACTCCGCTCCATCGCCAGCAAGCGTCAAACATCGTGCGGCCTCCACGGGGTAAACAGACGGCCACTGGGGACAGTGCACCGTGACAGACAGCCGAGGCGCTGACCAGAGGAGCCAGTCCCAGCAGCGCCTTCCCCACCTCCCCCACTACCCGGACACCCAGCAAGACGGGTCTCCCGCGCCGCACCCTGTGCTCCTCCGAGCCCCGGTATTCCAAGTGCTCTGACCTCTCACTTGGAACTCAGCACGCAGGCTCAGAAGAGCCAACCCTGAGCTTGGGCTCCTCGTGCATCTTACCTGACTTGCTCCCAGGTCTTGGTGGCCAGGTGCAGGACCCAGAGATCCCTGTAGTGGTAGAACTGCTCTCCGTCGGGGGAAGCGAACTCCCCTCCGAAGACCCACAGCTGCCCGCCGCCTTGGGGCACCACCACCGCCTGTCAAGAGAAAGGACAAGGTCAGGGTGCAGCCACACACCAGAGAGGCCGGCTCCACGGGTGACCAGCGGTGGTGGCACCACCAAGCCCAGCACTCCGCTGGCCCCACACTCAGCCATCCTCTCCTCCTGCCTCTGACGGAAGGTCCCTGAAAAGGCGGCCGTCCAGCTCACCGTCCTTCATCAAAAGTCTAACAAGCTTTCGTGTATTCCTAGGCTGCAAACAGACATCCACTTACACTTGGACAATACGTCCCATTAAAATGGACAGTTACTTCAAAAACTAACATCAGTATCACACAACCTGACCGAGTGTCTTCTTTCCAGTAGCATCGTAACAAAGCTGCCCGCCTGCCCCCATCAGTCCCTTCCAGCCGTTAAGTAGTGTCCACCTAAACTACCCACACGTAAAAGGTACACACAGTAGGGAGCATGCAGGCGACACTACTCACGCTTGCTTTTAAAAGACTTAAGCAGAGCAGTTAACGGCAAAGGAAAGCAGTGGCATTGATGCCCTCTGGGCCAACGTGGCAGAAGCTCTCACCGTCCTCAACCAGCCAGCAGAAGCCGGGGAGAGCGCGCAGTCCCGACCGGAAGCTGCCGACCACCCAGCCCAGAACGTCAAGTCAGAAACGAGGATATCCCTAATCAGTCAGTGGATTCCACCAAGCGCTCCAGGCAGGGGGTCCCTCTGGCCCACTCCCTCTCAGGACCCCAGGAGCCGTGGGCGGCAGAGTCTCTGGGAGGCGGCACGAGCCTGCCCACGGAAAGAACATAGACTGTCCTCAGTTAAAGATGTACATTGCGAACCTTACAGCAAACAAAACAAAACAAAGAAAAAAAAGGGATTGCTAATAAGCCAACAGAGAAATAAAAATAGGATATTAAAATCCAAAAGGCAAGAAAAAAAGAGAAAAAATGCAGTACAGTTGGGACAAATAGAGCAATATCAAAAACATTACTGATGGCCACATCAATAATTACATTAAACATAGGGAATAACACCGATTCAAAAGCAAAGACTGCCAAAATAGATAAAAATAAGACTCAACCACAGCACTGCTTACAAGAAACGCACTTTAAATACAAAGACACTGGTGGGTTAAGAGGAAAAGACGTACCACGGTAACACTAATACTGAGAAACCGGGGGTGGCTGTGCTAACAGCACACAAGCAACCTTCAGAACAAGGAAGGTTATCAGGGCTGAGTCAGCAGGATCTGGAGAACCTGAACGCCATCAACCACCCTAACCCAGTGAGGACACACAGCAGCCCGCAACGTACGTTCTTTGCAAACACACAGAGAACGTGCACCAGGACAGAGCACGGTAGCCTGTAATCCTCAAACTCAGAAGGATTGGATTAGAAATGAGCAACAAAAAGACACTTGGAAAATTCCCAAGTTTCCTCACGAACACGCTGAGGCCGACAGGAAGACCACTGCCATTTTTTTTTAACCATCTTGATCTTTTTTCTTTTTCACCCTTTCTTGTGAGAACATGCATTTCATTTCAAGTGAGTTTTACTTAGTTATTACTTTGGGGAAAACAAATCACCCAGTGAACTGAGAGTCCCTCGCACCGCAACGGCCCTGCTGGCAGCCAGCGCCCCAGTCCTCAGCAGGCCACACGCTGTCCGCGGCGCAGACCCCCGTCCTCCTGGGAGACGGGACGCTGACAGAAAACTGCTGAAGCCCGTTAAAGTCACTCTGTCACACAGGCAAGGGAAAGCACGACCCTGCACTGCGCCGCATTCTTTTCAAAAAAAGCCACCTGAACTCTCAAATGACACACTCAAATCCCACTCCTCCAAAATCCAGATCTTTTCTTTCTCTTCTCCTTTTACCTGATTACAGGGCAGATAAAGAACATGACTTCTAGCGTTGTACTCATTAAACCAGCCCACAATGAAGAAACCTGTTTACGTCCCAGAGTTCACGTAGCAGGATTTGAACTGCAATGACCTACAGGCAGAAGACTTCGCAACCAATCTCTGTCCCACACCTCTCTGGTTCACCGCGAACGCGTCGTGTAAACAGCAAGATGACCCTGACTGCATGGAGATCACCACCCAGACTAGACCAGCATCCCCGTGAGTGATAGCTGCCAAGCATCCTCCGAAACGGAAGTTAAAATCGCAAAGGCTTTCGTGACTTGATTTTTCAAGCATGCAGTTAGTAACAGTGATTAAAACGGATAAGAAAACGAACACGAGAGCAGCCCCAGAGCCTGCCTGGCGGGGGGCGCAGGGAGGAAGCACGATGCAGCACCCGGACACCAGCACCCACTGGGCCCCACGAGCCCGAGGGGCATCGGGAGAGCTGCATACGCTGAGCACTCACTGAGCTCGGCTTGCAGGCCCGAAACAGACTGTCGGTTCCCCAGAACCAGAGCAGGTTCTGGTGGACAGACGCGAACTTACCAAGATTTATTTACTTATTAAAATCCAAGATCGGATTTTTAAACTAGAAAATAAGTGAATTCCTTTATTGCATCAGACGAGCCTGTCCACGCCCCGTGGGCCTGCCTCTGCGTAAGACATTCATGAGGCTGGGGCAGGTCGGTTCTCCTCTCAGGCCCCACTTCAGATCAGGAGCTGCTTCTAAGCAAAGAATCAGAAAAAGGGGAGCCCTGTACCACAGAGGACTGTTTTATCCACGCTGCACTGATATAGTGATCCTTCTCCACGCTGGAAAGGCAGGCACTCGTTCAAACTGTATTTTGAGCGAGCCCAACTATTCCAAACAGAGAGTTACAACAATGAACAAGGACAGACACCCATCTCCACGGAGCTTACAGAGTATCTACGACCAGGGATACTTCCTTGCCGGGAATACAACAGCTCTGACAATGCTTTCCTTGTGAGAGAAACCAGCCAACAATAGGCCAGCTTAGAGTACTCTTCATTATCCCAGCTGCGACTTGTTTCACTCTAAAGCAGTCATCTGCCCTCCACCATTTATACCTTCCCTGAACACCTTGCTCTCATTTTCACCAGCTAATCCGAATCTCGGGCCAGTGGGGCCTCCTACTCACATGGGGACTACTCCGTGCCAGCACTGCGCCAAGGGGCTATTCCGTGCCAGGCACGACACTAGTATTTTTACACAGAGTGTTTCACATGATCTTCACACCACCTGGGGCAGCAGGTGTTGCGCAGTGAAGAAATGGAAGTGCGAAGCTTCCTAAGGAGCCCCAGCGAGAAAACAGCAGGCCCAGGCCCAGCCTCTCTGCACCAGGCGACCTGTCACTCACAAACCCTGAAAGTGTCTGTGTCACTCTCACACGGGAACAGGGAGGCTGACAGTCAGCATTGGCATTACCTGGTGGGCGCAGCGCCTTGGAGGTGGATTGGGGATGTCGACTTTAGACCAGCTGTCCTTTCTGATATTGTAGACGTAGAGCTCGTTATACAAAAAAGTCTGCAGGAAGGAAGAGGAACTTCAGTGTCATAGACAGGATGTTTCCAGGCAGGTGACAGTAAGTTTCAAGAATGATCTTAATCATTAGAATTCTCTGGGAAACTTGAATCTTAAAGCAATATAAATCGTAGCAATGTAGGGAGGCTACGTGGCTGGTCCCCTGGGATCCTTTGGGATGACAACATAATGAAAAAGAACAAATGTCCACCATGCCAGTAATCACTGTAAGGTACTGAGAGCCTCTGATGCTAAGATTTGTCATTCTCCTAACTCAAGCCTAGTTGTCAAATGCATGACACTCTGAGAGGAAGATGGACAACCAAGTCGTTTGACAGACAGAGGTCCTCGTGGGCTGGAGGGGCGGTGAGCTCACACTTTTCGACTGTTTCGTAGGCAACTCTGAAAGACAGGTCTTTCTGGCCTGCTCAAAAATAAAGCCAGCCCTAAAATTCATCACACTTTCCCTGCCAAGCCAACTCTGAAAGCTGTGAGTGTGAAATGCAAAAGCCCATGGAGGGGAAGGACAGCACGCACGATCCACCGCGATGAGGGGGCCCTGGCTGACCCAGCAAGTGGTGACAGGAGCAGCTGTGTGGCGGGGCACAGGCGTAGCTATGAGTTAAGGACACGAGGACACCCTGCACGACTGATGTACACAGTCGCTCCAGTGCCTGGACTGCCCTGATGACCAGTGAAGGACAACATCTCACACCAGGCCCCGTGGGTCAGGAGCAAGATACACAAGCGGGAGTGAAAGGACCAAGTTGGATTTGGTGTCACTGCTATAAGTTCATTTTACTCCAAATGATGCCCATGATAATTTCGGAGAAGAAAAAAAATATATACTTTACTTTTTGGCCATTGAAATATTCACCTCCGAAAAGGATCAATTCATCTTTCTCAGGATGTGCGGAGAGGGAGGCATTTAACCTACGAGAGACATAAGAAGAAAGTCAACACAAAGTCACACCCTGTGTGCCCATCTGAGAGCTGGTCGCTTTCCTTCTCTGTCACCCCTCACCTCTGAGCAAGTGACCACTCAACCCTGCATCTGAGGTCAGTGGGTAATCACCATCCCTGCACCTCGCACAGTGAAAACTTCCCCTCCCAGAGGGTGGAATACTGGCTTCCACTCAGGCTTGGGCAGGGTTAGGAAGACAGCAGTCCTGCGAGTTTAATCCCATGCAGAGGGAAATGAAGCAAACCACTCCCCAACCAAAACAGGCCAGATGCCTGTGAAGTTTACATTTCCCCTTCTCTGAATGATACAGTGTCTTTTTTTATTTCAACATACTATGGGGGCACAAATGTTTAGGTTACATATATTGCCTTTGCTCCGCCCGAGTCAGAGCTTCCAGCATGTCCATCCCCTAGACAGTGCACACTGCACCCATTAGGTGTGAATATACCCATCCCCTCCCCCACTGCCTGACATCCAATAGATGTTATTCTCGAACTCCTGACCTTGAGTGATCCACCCGCCTCGGCCTCCCGGAGTGCTAGGATTACAGGCGTGAGCCACCACGCCCGGCCGAATAGATGTTATTCTTATATGTGCACTTAAGTGTTCATCAGTTAATACCAATTTGATGGTGAGTACATGTGCTACTTGTTTTTCCATTCCTGTGATACTTCACTTAGTAGAATGGGCTCCAGCTCCATCCAGGATAATATAAGAGGTGCTAGATCACCATTATTTTTGTGGCTGAGTAGTACTCCATGGTATACACATACCACATTTCATTAATCCACTCATGGATTGATGGGCACTTGGGTTGTTTCCACACCTATGCAATTGTGAACCGTGCTGCCATAAACATTCAAGTGCAGATGTCTTTTTATCAGGGCATTGTATCATTCCTAGGCTCCTAACTGGTCATGTCTTCCCACTACTCCATGAACAGCAAATAGAAGAATTACAGAGCCCTAGATCAAATCATAAAACAATTAAAACTCAGAAGCCGAGAGGACAAGAGTTGATGCAGAGAAATAAGAAGTTGGACGAGGGCCAAAACCTGCTCACTACAGCTCACTCCACAAGACTTTTAAAAACCCTGTAAGACTTGTGATTTTTTCACATAATTTACAAATGCATTTAAAATGGCTTAAGTGCAGTTTATGTTTACTAATCAAACTTTTCACATGAGAATTTAAAAGCATTGCAAACAGAGCAAAACGCTATGGTGATTCCCAGCTTTCCAACTATGATAATGCACTTTTAGAACACCTTAAAAACCAAATAGAAGTCCACTGGGGCAACATTTCTACCCACACATTGCTGCCAGCTGGAGAACTTTCCGACCCAGCACAGCCTCCCTGGGGCAGTGGCTGGAGCCTGGTTCCCTGGATTCTGCGTGACAGCAACAGCGGGCAGCTCACTGCAGTTATCCACAAGGAAATCACTGAAACAGGGCGTAATGGTGAAGATGTGCCAAGTGGCTGGTCACTTATGAAAAGGTAGTGTCAATTTATTTTATTAATTTTTTTTTACTTTTTGTTTTATTATTTTTTTATTTTTATTTTTTGAGACAGAGTCTCACTCTGTCGCCCTGGCTAGAGTGCATGGTGTTATCCCAGCTCACTGCAACCTCGAACTCTTGGGCTCAAGTGATCCTCCTGTCTCAGCCTCCCAAGTGGCTGGGACTACATGTATGTGCACAACGCCCAGCTGATTTTTCTACTTTTAGTAGAGATGGGGGTCTCGCTCTTATTCAGGCTGGTCTCAAACTCCTGACTTCAAGCAATCCTCCCGCCTCGGCCTTCCAGAGTGCTGGGATTACAGGCATGAGCCACGACACCCAGCCCACAGTGGCAACTTAAAGCAGTTTTCTGATTTACAAAAGGAAACAGTCCAACAACAAGATGCAGAGAACCCTTGCTTGCTTACCGTGGTGAAGGTGGGGAGCACGGGGTTTCCACAATCTGAGTCTTTCTGGCATCCAGCGTCTGGAAATGGGCTATGAGAGCTTCCAGGTCTTCCTAAGGGCAGACAAGCAGGCACATGTAAGCTGGTTCTAAACCTGTCGGCTTTTCTCCTCTGCCAGCGTGATCTGACTGGGGTTCCACCAAATCTGTGCATCACAACACACTCTGCCTGTGTGTGAAATGCATAGAATTTGGCATATTAAATATACCAAATTTAAAATATTTAGAGCTTGACCTCAATGGCAGTTGGCTTACAAGCGTAGACGTGCGCACTACCAAGTACTGTCTCATCCCAAAGCCCTCACACTCCCCCCGAAGGGCCTTCTGTTTAGACAAGCCCACCCTGACTTCACTGCGAACACCTGACACCCCTCGTAAACTACTGTCCTCACTGTCTGCACAGCAGGGTCTGATGTTTCTCTTGCTCACGTATTTCCTATTTCCTCTACCTCTCCCCCACCAAAGTGGTAAGATACTAGCTCCACAAGAGCAAGATTCGTGTCTGGCTAGAAAAGTACCTGCACAAGGGGGCTTAGCAAATACCAGCTGCCGTCTATCTGCATAAGGAGGTCTCTGTTTCTACGACTGTACAAGCAGCCTTAGAAGTTAATGGGGCTGGTGCGGTGGCTCATGCCTGTAATCCCAGCACTTTAGGAGGCCAAGGTGAGAGGACCCCTAGAGCCCAGGGGTTCGAGACCAGCCTAGACAGCATAGCAAGACCCATCTCTACAAAATAAGCCATGTATTGTGGCACGAACCCCTGTAGTCCCAGCTACTCGGGAGGCTCAGGCAGGAGGATCACTTGAGGCCAGGAGTTGGAGGCAGCAGTGAGCTATGGTAACACCACCGCACTCCAGCCTACAGAGGGCTACAGAGTGAGACTCTACCTCAAAAAAAAAACAAAAAAAGAAGTGAAGGTGCTGAGTTGCTTCTGGGACCAAGTGTTCCTACCTCAGTCCAGTGCCAGGCTCCCTGCGTTTACAAGACGCCCTGCCCCCAGCGATGCCTGGCCTGTATGCCATGTGGAAAGTTCTCTTCTATCCTTAATCGCTTCTCTGAACTCTCACCCCTCACCTTGCTCAAACTGAGACCTGGGATCAGCCCTCCTTCCCCTCCTCCCTCTTCCTCCTTCTCCTTCTCCCCCGCCCCACACGCCACAGCCCATGCTCCCTCATAGCACACTCTGCAGGGCCTGAAGACAGGTTAGCTGTCCTTCTTGCACCTCAAGACACCTCCAGACCTTGTTCCCTCCCTCAAGCCCACCTCTCCAGCCTCACCTCCCACCCCAACCCTCAGCCTCCACGAGGCACTGGGTCCTCTCCCTTCCGCTAATGAACACACCACATTCATAACCTCAGAATGTTAGAGCCTAAGGAGGGTTCTAGGGAAAGTCCAACCCCATCATCTGACAGGTGAACGGCTCAGGAAGAAAAGGGGCAAAGGAATGTGGTCAGGAGCTCCAGACTGGGATGTCTGGTCAATCCCCAATTCCACACCGCTTCCCGGCTATGTGACCCTGAGGTGTATAACCCGCTGGTCTCTGATTTTCTGACTGTCGTATGGGAATGCCAGGGCTGCCTGACTGGCAGGCTGTGAGGATGAAAGCTCAGGCAGCGCAGTGCCCGGCACACAGCACACACTCAGCAGATACCGGCCAGTAAAACCGCCCGCGAGCAGCAGTCAACAGAAACAGAACCCACTCAAGCCCAAGCTGATCCACCTGCAGATCCGGGGATGGGGGAGGGAGGGGAAAATACCAGCACGGTGGTCACCGTCACCTGTTGGGGTGTAACAGAGGAAACACCTGAAAAAGCATAAAACGTTTTACCAGTTGTCTCTTTAAAACACCCCCTACTCTTTTTGGGAATCAAAGCCTGCATCCCTGCCCAAGGCCAGTAATCAGAGGAGTGGCTCCAGGGAACTGTCCCAGCAGAGGTCACCAGATCCGTCCCGGGAGACGGGGTCAGAGACAGGGTCGATCAGAGTCATCAACTATCCTTAAACAGCAACAGCCCCAAGCTGAAAACTCCTTTGAAAGTTCTGTATTTCTGCTTATAGTTAGGACTGTGGCACTTCAAGACACGAATGTGCCACACTCCTCATTTGCCAGCAAGTTAATAAACTCCCTTCCTTCTCCTCAAACCACGTGTCCTCGTTCCCTGATGCGGCCTGGGGACGAGCGCCCAACTTCCGGTAGCGGGACACCCTGCAGTGCCAGCGGCTTCTTCACTCACTCAACAGCGCTGGATGCGCACGCCTCAGGGATGCTGCGACGATTACTCGTCCTCTTTCGAAAAATGAGAAGAGCGAGGCTCAGGAAAGTCAAGGGCCTTACTCCCTGACAGCACACCTTGCCGAGGAGGCCCGGCCATCCCCACGGCCTCCTGTGCTAACCCTCAGCCTCTGCCCGCCACCCTGCTTCTGCCCGAGGGACAGGGCGGAGGAGAAACGCACGGGAGCCACACGAAGGGAGGCGAGCGCGTCCAAAGCGGCAGCTCCCTCGCTCTCCGCGGGCCGGGCGGGCACACGAGGAGGCCCGGGGGGAGGCGGGCCAGGTGCAGGCTTTGCCCGGGCAGGGCGCCAGACCGCAACTACGGCTTCACGCTCTCCCGCGGAGCCGGCGCCGACCACGGCGCACTCGAGGACCCGCCGTCCGGAGGGCGCAGGGACTCGGCCAGGCAGCACGGCGGGGCGTCGGGACGCGGACCCCGTGTGTCCCGCCCGCGGGGCCCGCTCACCTCCTCCTTCCGCGAGCGCTTGGACACCTTCTTCTCCATCTTGGCGGCCGTCTTCTCCGCCCCGCGGCCCTTCTTCTCCTTCTTGCCCTTCTTGCCCATCGCGCCGGCCCGCGTACAAACACCACAGAAGCCGGGCGCAGCGCGCGCCGCCCGCCCAGAAGCAGGTGTTGGCGGGGGAGGACCCGGCGCGCGGAAATAGCGTCACTTCCGGTCTGGACCCGGGCCACTTCCGGCGGAAGTGGCGGCGGTACTGGCGCTGCACTCCGTCTTGTTTTCGTGCTAGGTCTTTGCGAGCTGGCTTTGGGGCCTCGGGCTCCGGCTCACGTCCGAGGGGAAGCGGGCCGAGCCGGCCCGAGGTGCCTGGGCCTCGCGCCGCCCTCACGCCCCGCGCCTGGGAGACGCGGCCGCTTTTGCCGGCGGCGCAGCCCTCGGTGGAGTCGCCTGATGGGGGGCTCGGCGCGGTAGCCGCCTTCTCTTCCATCTTGGACTCTGTCACGTGAATGCCGTCCTGCCCCATCCGTTTGCAACGTGCCAGATAGCGTTAGGTGCTCAGGGTGTTGTGCCGAACAAGAAGCCACGGTTAGTGCGTTCTGCTCGCTGTGTGGGTTTCCCCAAATGTCCTGATGCAGACAGCATTTGTTTCTTAGTCGGCAGGCTCGGGCGGTGATGACGTCCCAAGAGTGGTCAGTTTATCAGGCCTGAGAAACAAAGATGAGTAAGATCCAACTGCCTGCTAGGAAGCTGCATTTTAGGTTTTGCCGCAAATAATGTAATAAATGGCAAAATCATTTGTAGAACGTGGAGTATTACGATTTGAAAGAGCGGAGTGAAAATGCTAATCACTACTTAAAAGATGTCATCTTTGGCCTTGTAATCAAGGAAATAAAGGAAATCAAGAACAAGGAAAGAGCTGGGCGCGGTGGCTTACACCTGTAATCCCAGCATTCTGGGAGGCCGAGGCAAGGAGGATCTCTTGAGCCCGGGAGTTTGAGGTTGCAGTGCTGTCATGGTTTGAGACTTACAGTGAGCTGCCATGGCGCCACTGCACTTTACCCAGGGCAACAAAGCAAGACTCCCTCTCCAAAAAAAAAAAGTAAGCAAGCAAGTGCACGCGCGCGCGGACACACACACACACACACACACACACACACAGACACACAAAGGAAAACAAAAATCAGGGAAAGGAAAAGCATACGTCAGGAAATAATCTAGTTTCTTACTTTGTGTGTGAACTGCCAAAGAACTCAGCCTTCAAGAAGTTGACTTAGGTCCAACCAATTACTGGTCACAGAGCAGCCAGGGAGGAGTGATTCTCCAACTCCAAACCTCGTCCATAAACCTAGCTGTTTAAGAAGAAAAATGAAATTTGGGGAAATAGGGAAGAAAAGGTAGAACTGGGTTAAAGCTGCCTCGATCAACTCCAGCACTGCTTGGAGGAGAATGGAACATGGGTGACAGTAGGAAAAAAGAACCAGTTGGAAGCTAATCAGAAAGGAGCTGGAGAATTTCACAGAAACATGGCCTGAGCCTGCAGACATGATTGTCTTGTATGATGCGCTACAAAAGGCTGAACCCTCACTGTTGCCCTGGGAAACAACAACCGGATTCCCTCTAGTGTGCTGTGACTTTCAGAACATGCCTAATCCTTTCATGCTTCTCTAAGTAGGCTGGATAACCTCGAGGCAGGCAACGCACTTGAAGCAAAATGGCCCTTGAGCCATAGCGCATCTGTCTGCAGCACATCACAGTGGTCCCCACTTAAGCGCTGTGAAGGGGGGAGTGTAATCACCTGCTGGAGGTTTGGGAGGATCTCATAGACGCTGAGTTGAAGACTTTTAGTATCCAAAAGAATCTTGAAGCTAAATGGGGAGGCTCTTGGATTATGTGTGTCATGGTGATTTATGTTAGGTTGAAATCTCATTACTGAGAAAGAAAGGGAAGAGAACATCTAAAATGAGATCAGACCCTAAAATAGTAAGAAGATTAAGTACAGGTTCCTATTTTAGTAAAATTCACATTTTTGAAATGTTAACGTATTATCTCAAATCTAATACATCACATTTAGAGTGTATCTTTTGGGTGATCAAGCGCCCTCTGCTGCCCTTAAACTGAAGTCCAGACGAGAAAAATAAAATCCATTGATAATGGACTAACTTGAAGGAAGGTATGCTCATTTCTAATCACCCTCACAAGCAATTAATCAGTGTGATGGGAAGGTTCTCCCAAGTGTGGTATGGATGAGGTGGTTCTCTGCACATTTCCCTTCTGGAAAGTGAGAATAATCCAACCAGCCCACCTACCACACAGAGTACTCGGGACAACGAAGTGAAATAATAAAGCTTAGAAAAGTAAAAAGCAAAATGCAAATTTTAGAGGTTCTACATGCTGTTAAGTAAGGCCATGACTCTGAACAGGCTGACAATTCATTTCATTTAGCAACGCGAATTGAACACCACGGTGTGTGTAACATTGTACCAGGCCACGTGAGGTGTGCCAAACGGAAGAGCCAGCCGCCAGCTGCAGGGAGGTTTTATTCTAGTGGGACAAACATATGAAGATGTTCCTCAAATGCTTTGTGAAGTGAAATAAGGGGTAAGAAAGGAAGGGAAGGAAGGAGGGAAAGAAGGAAACAGGGAAAAAAAGGGAGAAAGAAGAAAGTAAAGTAAAATCAAAACCATTGCTTCCTATATTCAATCCAGTTTTCTAGTGATCTAAGGGGAAAGGGTAAATCCAGTCCTGTTGCTCCATAGTGGTTAAAAGAAAAATTCTCTCCTCTTTGGGATGCTGTTTAATTTCCAAATATTTGGGGATCTTTTTATCGCCTTTTTGTTATTTATTTATCATATAATTCTTCTGTGGTCAGATGATACAGTCTGCGTGATTTCAGTCCGTTTAAACTCATTGTGACTTGGTTTATAGTCTGGCATGTGGTCCATGCTGAGAATGTTCCATGTGGCCCTGGGAGCGAAGATGATTCTGCAGTTGGGGTGGATGCAGTTCTGTGTCAGTTAGGTCCAGTTGATTAATATATGATTATACATCTTTACATATCCTTACTGAAATTTTTTCTACTTATTTGAATTAATTCCAAAGAGTAATAAAATTTACAACTATAATTAGGGATTTATCTATTTATTGTTTATATACAGTAAGTTCCGTACATTTAAAGTGTTCACACATGGCCAGGCTGGTGCACATGGGCTGCAGGGGGCAGGAGTGAACCAGAGTTGGCCCCTGCTCGCTGAGAAGGGCCACCTACTCCAGGGGAGATTCAAGGGGTGTGGAGAAAGGAGCGTAGGATTTGTCAGCCCTGAAGTTCCAAACTGGAAAGTTGTGTGTCTCTGGGTACACGGCTATCTTTTTAATGGAGATTTTCAAATTTCTTGGCATGGAGCAACACATGGAATTCTTCTACTTAAAACAATAAAGTGTTGAATTTGATATGTGTTGACACTATCAAGGTCAAATAAAAATAGAGAGCTGAATCTCTAACAAAATGTTTTATGTGAGAACCACAGAATTGCAATTTGGGGCACGCACACTGACCGGGGTGGTCTTCGGTACGTCTGAAGAACAGAGGGAAGGTTGGGGCTTTATCAGAAAGAGAAATGTCACGTGTGTTTTGGAAAAAAACTCACTGGCGCTAGCAAAGTTTTTAGGAGCTGGAAACTGATTGGTAAGTGATGGCTAGAGGGAACCAGCGTAGTGTCGTGGCAGGTCATTTCACAGCTACGGGGTAAAGCTGAGCTCAGGGTCGCAGCAGGTCGTCTGGGCAGCGAGCTGCGATAGGATCCCTGGGCAGGTGCTTTGCGCTCCAAATGCTTTCCTTTTCCTCTGCTCTCCCAAAGCTAACTTAGTCATTTAGGACACGAGAACGCCAATTCATATAGCCAATTTTCACACCGGATGCGTACACCCATGAAACCGTCACCACAATTACGAAAGTGAACATTCGTCAGCCCAGGGCTTCCCCGTGCCCCTCTGTAACCTTTCCTTCCCCTCCCGCACCCCCGTCTCTGAGCAATCGCTGATGTATATCCTGGAACTCTTGATCAGTCTGCATCTTTTAGGGTTTTACAAAGTGGAATCTTCCAGTACGTACTGGTTTTTTGAGCGGGGGACTCTGGCTTCGTTCACTGAGCTGAATTCCTTTGTGATCCATCCATGGATGGTGTCGTGCGTGAATCAGTAGTCCATCTGTCCTTATTGCCGAGGACGGAGGATGCTTCACAGCTCGTTAACGCCCCTGATGGTGCCGTTTCAGCTGCTTCCAGTTTGGGGCTGTTACCAAAAAAGCTGCTGTGAATATTCGTGTATAAGTCTTCATATGGACCTTTCAGGTAGAAAGGAACACAAGCGTGTGTCTACCTAGCAGTAGCACAGCTGGCTCGCGTGCTAAGTGCATGTTTAGCTCTTAGAGAAGCTGCCAAACTGCTTTCTAAAGTTGTTGTTCTATTATTTTACATTCCTAGCGGCTCCACATCCTCCCCAGGGCTTGGTATGGTCAAACATTTTCATTTTAGATGTTCTAATAGGTTTATAGTTGTATCTCACTGTGGCTTCAATTTGCATTCCTTACACCAGGTGTGGCTCAGGCCTGTAGTCCCAGGCCTTCCGAAGGCTGAGGTGGGAGGGTCACTTGAGGGCGGGAGGTGGAGGTCACAGTGAACTGTGATTGTGCCGTGCACTCCGCCTGGGTGACAGAGTGAGGCCTCTAAAGCAACAAACAAAAGTGTTCATTTCCTGATGGCTAAAGATACTGAGCATTTCCTTTTTTCTTATCTGCCATCGAATATCTTCTTTTGTAAAACCTCAGTTCAAATATTTTGCCCATTTTTTATTGGATTGTTTGGGTTTTTTAAATTGAGTTTTGAGGTTTGTTTTTTTTTTTTTTTTTTTTGAGACAGAGTCTCCCTCTGTTGCCCTGGCTAGAGTGCCGTGGCGTCAGCCTAGCTCACAGCAACCTCAGACTCCTGGGCTCAAGCGATCCTCCTGCCTCAGCCTCCCGAGTAGCTGGGACTACAGGTGCACACCACCACGACCAGCTAATTTTTCTATTTTTAGTAGAGATGGGATCTCACTCTTGCTCAGGCTGGTCTCGAATCCTGAGCCAAGCGATCCTCCCGCCTCGGCCTCCCAGAGTGCTGGGATCACAGGCCTGAGCCGCTGCACCAGGCCCGTGTTTTGATTT